ATAAAGGGCCCAAAAAAAAAAAAAAAAAAAGTTTTAAAAGGGGGCCCCCCCCCCCCCCCCTTAATTGACATTCTTTGCATCTGCATTCTGTAGCTAATTTATTCTTATGTTGCTAAGTTACACAGAGGTTGCACAACTTTTTGCTGCAATAGGCCTTACTTCACTCATGGTAGCCTGTGTATTTGTTGACTTTGTGGGGCATTTCATATTTCATATTCAGTGTAGATTCAAATCAGTTTTGTGATGATAAGGCTCTGAAAATGACTTTTTCTTGCTAGAACTAAAGCAACGTTAAATCTGACCTTTTGGATGTCTTAGTGGTTTGTGGCTGAAATTTTGCACATGGAATTTAATTTATGCCTGCTTTGTAAAAAGCTGTGCAGTATAAGAAGGAAACGAAAGGCTAAATGAAGTCCAGTTATTTCCATGTAAGACATTGAAACAGAACAAGAAAAGGAAACAGAACTGATCGCAATTTATATATATATATGTTTAAATAGCAGAAGTGTACCATTGCCCTTAGTCTAAACAACATTGAATAAAATAAATCAACCCTATACAGACTTTTTACGCACATACAGAGATGCAAACTTGTCACCTTTTGAAAAAAAATAGACATTTTGAATCCAAAATATGTAATTTGTGTAGATCTGATGGGGGAGTTTTATTGCACAGTACAATATTATTATTACTACAGTAACATTTTTATTGGTTTAAGTTTAATAATGTAATAAAAAATAATAATGATGATGATTACTATTATTATTATTATAGTAATATTGAATGGGCTACTTAAAAACAATCATGTGAATGTGGCCTTAAAAAAAAAAAAAAAAGCATTCTATGGTGAGATTTTGAGTTTTTCTTGCTAGAACTAAAGCAACGTTAAATCTGGTCTTATGGATGTGTTAGTGGTTTGTGGCTGAAACCAAAGGAAAGAAACCCATACAAATGTATTGTGGCCTGTGTCTTCGTATTTCCTGTATGCTTATTGTAATTCAGATGTAAGGGGGTTTGATGTTGCACATGGAATTGAACTTACGCCTGCTTTGTAAAAATCTGTGCAGTATAAGAAGGAAATGAAAGGCTAAATGAAGTCCAGTGTAAGACATTGAAACAGAACAAGAAAAGGAAACAGAACTATTCGCAATTTTTTTTAAAGGGGTCATATGATGCGATTTCAAGTTTTCCTTTCTCTTTGGAGTGTTACAAGCTCTTGGTGCATAAAGAAGATCTGTAAAGTTGCAAAGACTAAAGTCTCAAATCCAAAGAGATATTCTTTATAAAAGTTAAGAGTCAACCACACCTACCTAAAACGCCTCGTTCTAACACGCCCCCACATGTCTACGTCACTATGTGGAAATATTAGCATAATGCCGCCCAAATGTGCACACAAAAAAAGAAGGCGTGGTTTCAGGAACAGCAGTAGTGTTGATGCAGTCATGTCAGGGAGACGCTGTGTGATTCAGTGCGAAAGCAAAAGCACTTTATTTGGCCTTCCGGAAGTAGATGCAATTAGGAATCATTGGTTAAGATTTATTTACAACAGAACAGCACAACCCAAATGTTCGAATTTGTGCAACGCATTTTATGGACGACAGTTTTTTGAACCTAGAAGAGTACAAGGCTGGCTGTGCACAAAGGCTATTTCTAAAAAAAAAAGGGTCAATTCCGACTTTGCTATGACAATCTGGCGCTTCTGAATCAGCGACTGTAAGTATGTTTTGTTATTAGTTTAAGTATTCGCTATTGACTATTCAAATGCGGAGTTTTGCGCAGTGCAGAGTAATGCGTTGTGTGTGTGTGTGTGTGTGTGTAAGGGGAACAGGGTCACATCACAGGAGAGTGAACTGCCTGTCAGACATCATAGCAAGTCAGCTGTCTTAACCGCGGCTTGTGTATTGCATCATCACTGTGTCTGTCACACGACTCTGTTGCCCTTTCGGGCTTGAACTGATGGTAAAACTAACGACATTATTAACTGTCTTGATATTTACTTTGAAAGCTGAAGCGATTATGGTAAGGGATGTTACATTTCCAACGCGTGCTTGTGGTGTTTGGCCAATCACAATGCACTGGCAATATACATTTCCAAAATGGCAGAATTTTACTACATGACCATAAATAATGAAACAGGGTGCCTTCTAAAGTTTTACACATTTTACAGAGTGGGGAAATCGTGGGATACATTTTATGAAGTTTTAATTTAGAATAATGAAGCCTATGAATTACCTTGAACTGAATCAAATTATGTCTAGCATTTACAGAACATGTATGTACATTTCTCAAGCACTCATACCACATGAATATTAAAACCCATTTCCTCTTCCCAATCATGTTTTATTTTGTGAGTGTTATTGTCCACCTTTTCTACTAATACTTTGTAAAAATTTGACACAGTACCACTAGCACCTAGCACCAGGGTGTACATTAACAATACTTTCTAAAGTTGGATTTAAATTCAAAGATTTGAAGTCTGAACTGTGCTTCTTAACAAAGTCTCTGACTTGCAAATAACGGAAAAAAATTAGCAGGAACAAGAGCATAGTATTGTTTTAGTTGTTCAAAAGAACTAAATGTACCTTCCCAATAAAGATCTTGTATTGTTACTATACCCATATGTTTCCATTGAAAAAAGATCCTATCATGTAACCCCGGAGGAAAAGCATGATTATTACAGATTGGGGTATCTAAATATAAATCTGGAATTTTCAAATATACCTTGATTTGTTTCCATACTTTAATTAGGTTTGAAATAACTATGTTACCATGAATATTTTTGACTTCAATTTTGATGGGACTCTTAAGCAGAGCTGTTAATGAATTCTTATAACAAGAAGCTTCTTCAATTGCTAACCATTCTGGCTTGTCACCTAACTCCACTGAACCAATCTTCCTCCACCACGCTAAAGTATTTATGTTAGCTGCCCAATAATAAAATGTAAAATTGAGAAGCCCAAACCCTCCTTGATCTCTAGATTTGTTTAGATGTTTCTTGTTAATCCTAGCTATCTTCTTGTCCCAAATGAAGCTGCTTATAATAGATTCTAGCTGTTTAAAATAATTAAGGGGAATTAAGAAAGGAATAGATTGAAATACATACAAAACTCTTGAAAGTACCACCATTTTTATAGCGTTAATCCTGCCTACCATGGACATAGGGAAGCTGATCAATATTCTTTTTCCAATTCAATTTTAATAACATTTCAGGTTTTTTGGTGATTATTACACCTAAATATTTAAAGGAGAGATTTGCACTTTTAAATTTAGTGCTAGATAAATATTTTTGATCTAAATCATCAAGAGACTAGCATTAATTCACTTTTTTTCCCAAATTATTGTGAATCCAGAAAGACTGCCAAATGTTTCAATAAGCTCAAGTAATGGTGGAATAGGCATTTCAGGGTCGGAAACATACAGGAGAATATCAGCCGCATACAACGAAAGATGTTGGGGTCTGCCCTCTATCACTATAGGTGCTATGTTAGGATGGTGTCTGATACTGGCTGCTAATGGTTCCATTGAGATATCAAACATTAAAAAAAGGAGACAAAGAGCATCCCTGACGTGTACCTCGAGATAACTGAAATGGATTTGAAATGTTTTGGTTGCTAATAACAGAAGCTACTGGATGTGCATAAATTATTTCAATCCATTTAATAAATTCTGAACCGAATCCAAATTTCTTTAGAACAGCAATCATGTATTTCCACTCTAATTGTTTGAAGGCTCGTTGAGCATCTAATGAGATAACACATGTCTTTATATTTTCCTTGTTATAAATTATGTTAAACAGCCGTCTCAAATTAAAATATATATGTCTCTTTGGCATAAAACCAGTCTGGTCCTGATGAATTATAGAACAGATGTACTTTGTCAATCTATTCACAAGAATTTTTGTTATAATCTCAGATTCAGTGGAAATGAGAGAGATCGGGCGAAAGGAAGACATCTGCAGCTTGTCCCGCCCCGGGTTTGGAATTAATACTATACTCGCTTCATACATCATTGGTGGAAATTTATTTTGTGTTGTTGCACTTTTAATCAGTCTTTGAATTATAGGTACAAGATTATTCCTGATTTTTTTATAGAATTCGGCACTAAAGCTGTCCGGACCCACAGATTTGTTATTAGGTAACTGTTCTATTACTTCATTTATTTCTTCTAGTGTAATTTCTTTATCTAAGGAATGTTTTGCATCAGTGCTAAGAATGGGAAGATCCAATTGAGAAAAACAATTATTCTATTGCCTCTTGGCTCGTTTTACATTTTGATTCATAGACTTCTTTATAGAAATCAGCAAAGCAACGATTAATTTCCTTGGGGGTCAACAATTATCTGCCCATTATTCAATTTTATTTTATGTATTGCACGAGTTGCCTGAGAGTTATTCACAATTTGTATATATGTTTTTAAATAGCAGAAGTGTACCACTGCCCTTAAAGTCTAAACAACATTCTTATGGTAAAGCAACTATATACAGGCATTTTATGCACATACAGAGATGCAAACTTGTCACCTTTTGATAAAAATAGACATTTTGAATCCAAAATATGTCATTTATGTAGATCTGATGGGGGAGCATTATTACTATTAGTATTATCACTATTCAATAATACTGAATAGTATTATTACTACAGTACAAATTTTATTGGTTTATTTAATACGTTTATAATAATAAAAAATTATAATAATAATAATGAAAAAAAAAAAACAATAATGTGAATGTGCATGGCCTTAAAAGAAAAAAAAAATCCATTCTATGGTGAGATTTTCCCTATATCTTCATGCTAAAATTGACTGTAAATCCGCATTTGAAACTGATATTTAAAAAAAAATTGGGAGTCATGAATTTGCATCCCTGATGGGCATTTATGATAGTTAACTATTAAAAATGAACTGCATCGAAATCTAATATTATAGGGCATATTAATCAACTAAATAATGAAAATGAGGAGCGTTATTCTTTTTAAATTAATACATTGCTTATAGTTTAAATGATATAGCTATAGCCCATTTAGTTATCAGTCTAAGTTGAATGTACAGAGCATGATGTAAGTTTGTGTATTGATACTGCTCAATCTACGGTCCCTCTCCTGTTACCATAGCAACCACCTTCTCAGCATCAGCACCCATATCGTCAATAGCAGTGTTGAGTGCCTGCAGCATAACGGTGAAAGATCGACTGACGGATCTGGTGTGTCTCGGCATGGCTAGTTCCACAAGTCTGGTGGTTGCTGTGCTGGTGTCTTTCTCGACTTGCGCGAGTCGTCTTTTAACTTCGCTCTTGCTGACCTCCACAGAGAGAGCACAGGTCCGCAGGGCCTTCAGCCTGGCTGGGTCGAGACCCCGCTGCCTCGCCAGCCGCTGCAGAGACTCGTCGTCCAGGCAAAGTGAGATCTGAGCCTTGTTCAGAATCCGTATGGCCACCGTAGCGTCCACCATGGAGGCCACCAAAGGTACGGGAATGGCAGAAACGCCACCGGATAATGAGGCAGCGGCCCACACCAGTGCCTTAAAGGCATCTTTCTTCTGAGTGACCAAGGAGTTGGAGAATGTAGGAAGTGCTAGAAGAAGAGCATGCGATCTGATCTCTGGAAGGTCACATCGCATGACCTCTAAAAACTTCAGAAAGTCCAGCTTCTCCAAAGCTGAAGGTTGTACCAGAAACACCTTGGGCAGAGGAACACCTTCTGCCTTGAGCACTTCTAAGCTTGCCGTCTTCTTCGCCTCCAATGTTTTCTCAGTATCCTTCATAGATGATAGTAAGATGAAGTAAACCGTCTCTTTCTGCAGCGACCTCACTTCCCTCCACACCGCCACACTGTTAACACTAGGTTTCTCTGTGAATGTGAAAATGATGGAGTTGTATCTCATAACTTTGAAACGCTCTACATAATCCTCAGCCTCAAAAGAAGCATTGCTAGAGATGGATGGCAGATCCCAAAGGCGAAAGTCAGGATGCTTTGGATTCGGGAATACGGCTAGATCTTCTGGGGCAGAGGATGATGGAGTACGGGCTGCGGTTTCATCTTCTTGGCTCAGACCTCGAAGTGAATTTATAAAAGTAGCTTTTTCTGCATTTCTGTCCCCAATGATCGCAATGTTGATTCTGCTGATCAGCATGTCCTCCATTGCATCTCTTATATCCGAAATGTTGTTCTTTTCAATAGACTCCTTTAGTGTTTCCAGCAGGTTAAGACTCCTCAACACATCAGCCATGTCTGGTAGGTGATAACTAATCTACAAATACAAAGACACATCATTTACAGTGTTTGAAAGCAGAGTTGGGGTTATGTGTGTTTCAGACATTTGGAGTCTGTAAGATTTTATACTTTTATTCAGCAAAGACACATTAAATTGATCAAAAGTGACAGTGAAGTTTTTATAGTATTACAAAAGTTTACATTTCAAATAAATGCTGTTCTTTTGAACTTCCAATTCACCAAAAATCCCGAAGACAAAAAAAGGATTCTGAAGGATTATGTGATGAAGACTGGATGTGATGAAACTCAGCTTTGCATCACAGAAATAAATTACATTTTAAAATATATTCAAATAGAAAATAGTTCATTTGAAATTGTAATAATATTTCACAGTTTTTACTGTATATTTGATCAAACAAATGTTAGAGACATAAAATACTTTTTTTCATAA